AAATACTGAATATCGGGAGCTACCTTTATATTGGAGATATACGAAGACTTGGACCTGCACAGACAATTTTCTGTCATAGGCTGTAGTACCCGTTACGAACATCAAATACCAAATTTAATTTTCAAATTTCTAACATTTTTTGTCAAATTTCTAATTAATATTGTCGCTAAAATCATTAAAATAACGATAAAGGGAGGTACCGTTATTGAGGGCTATATGAAGACCTGGACTTTCACAGACAATTTTCTGTCATAGGCTGTAGCATCCGTTACGAACCTCAAATACCAAATTTGAAACAATTCCGGTAAATAATGTCGCTAAAATCATCAAAATACCAAATATCGGGAGGTACCGTTATATGGGGGCTATACCAAAACGTGGACCGACATCACCCATTTTCAATACCAAAAGTCCTGCAGACATAATATACATTTGAGTTAGATTTTATCAATCTACCTCTTTTCGTTCGAAAGCTAGAGTGATTTCCACAGACGGACAGACTGACGGACATCGCTAAATCGACATAGAATTTTATGCTGATCAAGAATAAATACACTTTGTGGTGTCCAAATTGTATATTTCGAGGTGTTACAAGCGGAATGACAAACTTAATATACCCTTCATACTACGGTGGAGGATGTAAAAAAATCATTTCGAAATGGTAAATGGAAATTCTGACAATCAAGCAAAAATAATTAATAGTTAAAAAAAAAAAATCTATTAAAAATTAAAGCAGGATATTTAAATTCAATTGTGAAAATCTAGCAAAACAACAAATAGTGAAAAAATAGATAATTCTCAGTAATTCTAAAAATTAATTTAATTAATTATTATTATTAATTAATTAAAAAAATAATAATTAAACAAGATCATTTAAATATTTAAATTTAATTCTGCAAAACGAGCAACAATAATAAAATTTGAAAAAAAAACACAATAATAAAACTAATTTATAATTAAACAAGAATATTTAAAGAAAGAAAAAAATTTAAAATATTAAAAACTAAATAGTTTAATAAATCTGATAAAAATTAAAGCAGAAAATTTAAATTCAATTTTGAAAATCTAGAAAAACAACAAATAATTAAAATTAATTAAATTAAATATTACAATTATAAAAATTATACAATTATAAAAATTAATTAAAAAAATAATTAGTTAATTATTATTAATTAATTAAAAAATAAAAATTAAACAAGATTAAATATTTAAATTTAATTCAGAAAATCTAGCAACAATAATAAATATTTGAAATAAAATAAAATAAATTTAAAATTAAACAAGAATATTTAATGCATATATTAATAATTTATTAAAAATTATTAAAGAAAAAATAATGGGAATATTAAATACTTAATAAAAATATTTAAACTTAATTCATTACATAAATTTTTTTGAATTTATTTTGAAATTGAATTGAAGACTTTTTAAACAATTTTTCTGTAATTTTAGAATTTTTATTTAATTTATAAAATGTCAACTTTTCGGTTCACCCTATTACAATAATTTTTTTTTTCAAAACATATTTTTTTTACAAAAATTTTAATATTCCATTTTTTTTTCTTTTTAGCCTGTGATCTTCTAAACAATGGTGTGGCCGCCATTATTGGGCCAAGTTCGGCGACTAAAAGCGGTAAGTGTTTATTTTTAGCCCCCCAAAAAAATGGTGGGCGGCGGGGAGCAGAAGAGTAAAATAAACAAGCGAAACTTATTTTATGTTGCCTTCTGTCGTCACACGGAATTTATGCCGGTCGTAATTTCGTCTGGTATCAGTCTGTTGCCGGGAATGACTTTGAATATTTTGTGGGGGTAATAAAAAAAGACGACCACAGGTATTACGGAAGTGTTCGAGAAACACGAATCAGTTAAGATACTTTTGAGTTACTTTTGGTAGGTATAATCGGTTTTTGGGGGAGGTAGGGAAAATGGGGAATCTCAAAATTAATTCAAAATATTGAATTCTGATCCCCTAGATTATCTTTAGAAATCTAGCTTTACATTAATACATTGTGTACCAGTTCAAAGTTTACATCCTTCCCAAAGGCTTTCTAGAATGGATTTTAAAACAAATTTTTACCTTCCGAAAGGTCTTCAGGGGTCCATTTTGTTTTCTCGAAAATTCCTTTAAAAATTTCTTTAAAAAATCCACGTCAATTATCCTTTTTAAGTCCTCGAAAATTTCTTTAAAAAATCCACGTCAATTATCCTTTTTAAGTCCTCGAAAATTTCTTTAAAAAATCCACGTCAATTATCCTTTTTAAGTCCTCGAAAATTTCTTTAAAAAATCCACGTCAATTATCCTTTTTAAGTCCTCGAAAATTTCTTTAAAAAATCCACGTCAATTATCCTTTTTAAGTCCTCGAAAATTTCTTTAAAAAATCCACGTCAATTATCCTTTTTAAGTCCTCGAAAATTTCTTTAAAAAATCCACGTCAATTATCCTTTTTAAGTCCTCGAAAATTTCTTTAAAAAATCCACGTCAATTTTTCTTTTTAAGTCCTCGAAAATTTCTTTAAAAAATCCACGTCAATTATCCTTTTAAGTCCTCGAAAATTTCTTTAAAAAATCCACGTCAATTATCCTTTTAAGTCCTCGAAAATTTCTTTAAAAAATCCACGTCAATTTTTCTTTTTAAGTCCTCGAAAATTTCTTTAAAAAATCCATATCAATTATCCTTTTTAAGCCCTCGAAAATTTCTTTAAAAAATCCACGTCAATTATCCTTTTTAAGTCCTCGAAAATTTCTTTAAAAAATCTACGTCAATTATCCTTTTTAAGTCCTCGAAAATTTCTTTAAAAAATTCACGTCAATTATCCTTTTTAAGTCCTCGAAAATTTCTTTAAAAAATCCACGTCAATTATCCTTTTTAAGTCCTCGAAAATTTCTTTAAAAAATCCACATCAATTATCCTTTTTAAGTCCTCGAAATTTTCTTTAAAAAATCCACGTCAATTATCCTTTTTAAGTCCTCGAAAATTTCTTTAAAAAATCCACGTCAATTATCCTTTTTAAGTCCTCGAAAATTTCTTTAAAAAATCCACGTCAATTATCCTTTTTAAGTCCTCGAAAATTTCTTTTAAAAATCCACGTCAATTATCCTTTTTAAGTCCTCGAAAATTTCTTTAAAAAATCCACGTCAATTATCCTTTTTAAGTCCTCGAAAATTTCTTTAAAAAATCCACGTCAATTATCCTTTTTAAGTCCTCGAAAATTTCTTTTAAAAATCCACGTCAATTATCCTTTTTAAGTCCTCGAAAATTTCTTTAAAAAATCCACGTCAATTATCCTTTTAAGTCCTCGAAAATTTCTTTAAAAAATCCACGTCAATTATCCTTTTAAGTCCTCGAAAATTTCTTTAAAAAATCCACATCAATTATCCTTTTTAAGTCCTCGAAAATTTCTTTAAAAAATCCAGTCAATTATCCTTTTTAAGTCCTCGAAAATTTCTTTAAAAAATCCACGTCAATTTTTCTTTTTAAGTCCTCGAAAATTTCTTTAAAAAATCCACGTCAATTATCCTTTTTAAGTCCTCGAAAATTTCTTTAAAAAATCCACGTCAATTTTTCTTTTTAAGTCCTCGAAAATTTCTTTAAAAAATCCACGTCAATTATCCTTTTTAAGTCCTCCAAAATTTCTTTAAAAAATCCAGTCAATTATCCTTTTTAAGTCCTCGAAAATTTCTTTAAAAAATCCACGTCAATTATCCTTTTTAAGTCCTCGAAAATTTCTTTAAAAAATCCACGTCAATTATCCTTTTAAGTCCTCGAAAATTTCTTTAAAAAATCCACGTCAATTATCCTTTTAAGTCCTCGAAAATTTCTTTAAAAAATCCACGTCAATTTTTCTTTTTAAGTCCTCGAAAATTTCTTTAAAAAATCCACGTCAATTATCCTTTTTAAGTCCTCCAAAATTTCTTTAAAAAATCCACGTCAATTATCCTTTTTAAGTCCTCGAAAATTTCTTTAAAAAATCCACGTCAATTTTTCTTTTTAAGTCCTCGAAAATTTCTTTAAAAAATCCATATCAATTATCCTTTTTAAGCCCTCGAAAATTTCTTTAAAAAATCCACGTCAATTATCCTTTTTAAGTCCTCGAAAATTTCTTTAAAAAATCTACGTCAATTTTTCTTTTTAAGCCCTCGAAAATTTCTTTAAAAAATCCACGTCAATTATCCTTTTTAAGTCCTCGAAAATTTCTTTAAAAAATCTACGTCAATTTTTCTTTTTAAGCCCTCGAAAATTTCTTTAAAAATCCACGTCAATTATCCTTTTTAAGTCCTCGAAAATTTCTTTAAAAAATCCACGTCAATTATCCTTTTTAAGTCCTCGAAAATTTCTTTAAAAAATCCACGTCAATTTTTCTTGTTAAATCCTCGAAAATTTCTTTAAAAAACCCACGTCAATTTTTCTTGTTAAGTCCTCGAAAATTTCTTTAAAAAATCCACGTCAATTATCCTTTTTAAGTCCTCGAAAATTTCTTTAAAAAATCCACGTCAATTTTTCTTTTTAAGTCCTCGAAAATTTCTTTAAAAAATCCACGTCAATTATCCTTTTTAAGTCCTCCAAAATTTCTTTAAAAAATCCACGTCAATTATCCTTTTAAGTCCTCGAAAATTTCTTTAAAAAATCCACGTCAATTTTTCTTTTTAAGTCCTCGAAATTTCTTTAAAAAATCCATATCAATTATCCTTTTTAAGCCCTCGAAAATTTCTTTAAAAAATCCACGTCAATTATCCTTTTAAGTCCTCGAAAATTTCTTTAAAAAATCTACGTCAATTTTTCTTTTTAAGCCCTCGAAAATTTCTTTAAAAAATCCACGTCAATTATCCTTTTTAAGTCCTCGAAAATTTCTTTAAAAAATCTACGTCAATTTTTCTTTTTAAGCCCTCGAAAATTTCTTTAAAAAATCCACGTCAATTATCCTTTTAAGTCCTCGAAAATTTCTTTAAAAAATCCACGTCAATTATCCTTTTTAAGTCCTCGAAAATTTCTTTAAAAAATCCACGTCAATTTTTCTTGTTAAATCCTCGAAAATTTCTTTAAAAAATCCACGTCAATTTTTCTTGTTAAGTCCTCGAAAATTTCTTTAAAAAATCCACGTCAATTATCCTTTTTAAGTCCTCGAAAATTTCTTTAAAAAATCCACGTCAATTATCCTTTTTAAGTCCTCGAAAATTTCTTTAAAAAATCCACGTCAATTATCCTTTTTAAGTCCTCGAAAATTTCTTTAAAAAATCCACGTCAATTATCCTTTTTAAGTCCTCGAAAATTTCTTTAAAAAATCCACGTCAATTATCCTTTTTAAGTCCTCGAAAATTTCTTTAAAAAATCCACGTCAATTATCCTTTTTAAGTCCTCGAAAATTTCTTTTAAAAATCCACGTCAATTATCCTTTTTAAGTCCTCGAAAATTTCTTTAAAAAATCCACGTCAATTATCCTTTTTAAGTCCTCGAAAATTTCTTTTAAAAATCCACGTCAATTATCCTTTTTAAGTCCTCGAAAATTTCTTTAAAAAATCCACATCAATTATCCTTTTTAAGTCCTCGAAAATTTCTTTAAAAAATCCACATCAATTATCCTTTTTAAGTCCTCGAAAATTTCTTTAAAAAATCCACGTCAATTATCCTTTTTAAGTCCTCGAAAATTTCTTTAAAAAATCCACGTCAATTATCCTTTTTAAGTCCTCGAAAATTTTCTTTAAAAAATCCACGTCAATTATCCTTTTAAGTCCTCGAAAATTTCTTTAAAAAATCCACGTCAATTATCCTTTTTAAGTCCTCGAAAATTTCTTTAAAAAATCCACATCAATTATCCTTTTAAGTCCTCGAAAATTTCTTTAAAAAATCCACGTCAATTATCCTTTTTAAGTCCTCGAAAATTTCTTTAAAAATCCACGTCAATTATCCTTTTTAAGTCCTCGAAAATTTCTTTAAAAAATCCACGTCAATTATCCTTTTTAAGTCCTCGAAATTTCTTTAAAAAAATCCACATCAATTATCCTTTTAAGTCCTCGAAAATTTCTTTAAAAAATCCACGTCAATTTTTCTTTTTAAGTCCTCGAAAATTTCTTTAAAAAATCCACGTCAATTTTTCTTTTTAAGTCCTCGAAAATTTCTTTAAAAAATCCACGTCAATTATCCTTTTTAAGTCCTCGAAAATTTCTTTAAAAAATCCACGTCAATTATCCTTTTTAAGTCCTCGAAAATTTCTTTAAAAAATCCACGTCAATTATCCTTTTTAAGTCCTCGAAAATTTCTTTAAAAAATCCACGTCAATTATCCTTTTTAAGTCCTCGAAAATTTCTTTAAAAAAATCCACGTCAATTATCCTTTTTAAGTCCTCGAAAATTTCTTTAAAAAATCTACGTCAATTTTTCTTTTTAAGCCCTCGAAAATTTCTTTAAAAAATCCACGTCAATTATCCTTTTTAAGTCCTCGAAAATTTCTTTAAAAAATCTACGTCAATTTTTCTTTTTAAGCCCTCGAAAATTTCTTTAAAAAATCCACGTCAATTATCCTTTTAAGTCCTCGAAAATTTCTTTAAAAAATCCACGTCAATTATCCTTTTTAAGTCCTCGAAAATTTCTTTAAAAAATCCACGTCAATTTTTCTTGTTAAATCCTCGAAAATTTCTTTAAAAAATCCACGTCAATTTTTCTTGTTAAGTCCTCGAAAATTTCTTTAAAAAATCCACGTCAATTATCCTTTTTAAGTCCTCGAAAATTTCTTTAAAAAATCCACGTCAATTTTTCTTTTTAAGTCCTCGAAAATTTCTTTAAAAAATCCACGTCAATTATCCTTTTTAAGTCCTCCAAAATTTCTTTAAAAAATCCACGTCAATTATCCTTTTTAAGTCCTCGAAAATTTCTTTAAAAAATCCACGTCAATTTTTCTTTTTAAGTCCTCGAAAATTTCTTTAAAAAATCCATATCAATTATCCTTTTTAAGCCCTCGAAAATTTCTTTAAAAAATCCACGTCAATTATCCTTTTTAAGTCCTCGAAAATTTCTTTAAAAAATCTACGTCAATTTTTCTTTTTAAGCCCTCGAAAATTTCTTTAAAAAATCCACGTCAATTATCCTTTTTAAGTCCTCGAAAATTTCTTTAAAAAATCTACGTCAATTTTTCTTTTTAAGCCCTCGAAAATTTCTTTAAAAAATCCACGTCAATTATCCTTTTTAAGTCCTCGAAAATTTCTTTAAAAAATCCACGTCAATTATCCTTTTTAAGTCCTCGAAAATTTCTTTAAAAAATCCACGTCAATTTTCTTGTTAAATCCTCGAAAATTTCTTTAAAAAATCCACGTCAATTTTTCTTGTTAAGTCCTCGAAAATTTCTTTAAAAAATCCACGTCAATTATCCTTTTTAAGTCCTCGAAAATTTCTTTAAAAAATTCACGTCAATTATCCTTTTTAAGTCCTCGAAAATTTCTTTAAAAAATCCACGTCAATTATCCTTTTTAAGTCCTCGAAAATTCTTTAAAAAATCCACGTCAATTATCCTTTTTAAGTCCTCGAAAATTTCTTTAAAAAATCCACGTCAATTATCCTTTTTAAGTCCTCGAAAATTTCTTTAAAAAATCCACGTCAATTATCCTTTTTAAGTCCTCGAAAATTTCTTTTAAAAATCCACGTCAATTATCCTTTTTAAGTCCTCGAAAATTTCTTTAAAAAATCCACGTCAATTATCCTTTTTAAGTCCTCGAAAATTTCTTTTAAAAATCCACGTCAATTATCCTTTTTAAGTCCTCGAAAATTTCTTTAAAAAATCCACATCAATTATCCTTTTTAAGTCCTCGAAAATTTCTTTAAAAAATCCACATCAATTATCCTTTTTAAGTCCTCGAAAATTTCTTTAAAAAATCCACGTCAATTATCCTTTTTAAGTCCTCGAAAATTTCTTTAAAAAATCCACGTCAATTATCCTTTTTAAGTCCTCGAAATTTTCTTTAAAAAATCCACGTCAATTATCCTTTTTAAGTCCTCGAAAATTTCTTTAAAAAATCCACGTCAATTATACTTTTTAAGTCCTCGAAAATTTCTTTAAAAAATCCACATCAATTATCCTTTTTAAGTCCTCGAAAATTTCTTTAAAAAATCCACGTCAATTATCCTTTTTAAGTCCTCGAAAATTTCTTTAAAAAATCCACGTCAATTATCCTTTTTAAGTCCTCGAAAATTTCTTTAAAAAATCACGTCAATTATCCTTTTTAAGTCCTCGAAAATTTCTTTAAAAAAAATCCACATCAATTATCCTTTTTAAGTCCTCGAAAATTTCTTTAAAAAATCCACGTCAATTTTTCTTTTAAGTCCTCGAAAATTTCTTTAAAAAATCCACGTCAATTTTTCTTTTTAAGTCCTCGAAAATTTCTTTAAAAAATCCACGTCAATTATCCTTTTTAAGTCCTCGAAAATTTCTTTAAAAAATCCACGTCAATTTTTCTTTTTAAGTCCTCGAAAATTTCTTTAAAAAATCCATATCAATTATCCTTTTAAGCCCTCGAAAATTTCTTTAAAAAATCCACGTCAATTATCCTTTTTAAGTCCTCGAAAATTTCTTTAAAAAATCTACGTCAATTTTTCTTTTAAGCCCTCGAAAATTTCTTTAAAAAATCCACGTCAATTATCCTTTTTAAGTCCTCGAAAATTTCTTTAAAAAATCCACGTCAATTATCCTTTTTAAGTCCTCGAAAATTTCTTTAAAAAATCCATATCAATTATCCTTTTTAAGCCCTCGAAAATTTCTTTAAAAAATCCACGTATATTATCCTTTTGGGTCCTCGAACGTCAACGTTCTCTTTGGGTCGTCGAAAATTTATATAAACCATAGTAGAAATACTGGCCTTATATGCGCCATAGGAGACCTACTGGCCTTCTATGAGCCAGAGTAGACCTACTGGCCATCTATGAGCCATAGAAGACCTTTAGGCCTTCTGTGAGCCATATAAGACCCATGGCCTTCTATGAGCCATATAAGGCCCACTGGCCTTCTATGAGCCATAGAGGACCCACTGGCCTTCTATGAGGCATATAAGTCCTACTGGTCTTCTATGAGCTATAGAAGACTCACTGGCCTTCTATGAGCTATAGAAGACCCACTGGCCTTCTAGTAACCATAGAAGACCTTTAGGCTATTATGAGCCATAGAAGACCTACTGGCCTTCCATGAGACATAGAAGACCTACTGGCCTTTTATGAGCCATAGAAGACCTTTATGCCTTCTAGGAGCCGTAGAGGACCTACTGGCCTTCTATGAGCCATAGTGGCCTACTGTCCTTCTATGATCCATGGAAGACCTACTGGTCTTCTATGAGCCATAGAAGACCTACTGGGCTGCTATGAGCCAAAGAAGACCTACTGGGCGTCTATGAGGCATAGAAGACCCACTGGCCTTCTATGAGCCAAAAAAGACCTACTGGCCATAGAAGACCTTCTGGCCTCATATGAGCCATGGAATAACTTAGGCCTTCTATGAGCCATAGAAGACCTTTAGGCCTCATATGAGCCATAGAAGACTTACAGATCTTCCCAAATGCCTTCAGGTGTGGATTTTAAAATAATTTTTTGCCGCCTTCCCAAATACACAAATACATGCTTTTTGGGTCCAAGAATTTTTTTTAAAAAACTCACGTCAATTTTGGAGTTCTCGAAAATTTTTTTAAAAAGCCCGTGGGGTTTTAGAATTTTTTTTTTTAAAAAACCACGTCAATTTTGGGGTCCTAGAATTTTTTTTTAAAAAGTCCACGTCAATTTTGGGGTCCTAGAAATTTTTTTAAAAAAATCCACGTCAATTTTGGGGTCCTAGAAAATTATTTAAAAAATCCACGTTAATTTTGGGGTCCAAGATTTTTTTTTTTAAATCCACGTCAATTTTGGGGTCCTAGAAATTTTTTTTTAAAAAAATCCACGTCAATTTTTGGGTCTTAGAAAATTTTTTTTTTTTAAAAAATCCACGTCAATTTTGGGGTCTTAGAAATTTTTTTTTAAAAAATCCACGTCAATTGTCCTTTTGGAGTCCAATATTTTTTTTTAATCCACATTAACTTTCTTTTCTGGTTTCTCCAAATTTTCTTAAAGAAATCCATGTCAATTGTCCTTTTTGGGTTTTAGAAAATGTCCATAAAAAAACCACGTCATTTGTCCTTTTTGAGTTATCGAAAATATCCTTAAAAAAATCCACGTCAATTGTCTTTTTGGGGTCCTTAAAATTCCAGGTCAATTGTCATTTTTGGATAATTGAATCTCTTTAATCTCTCAATATTTTAAAATGCTCAAAATATGAAAATCACCCCCTCATATATGGCCACCCGACTGAGAAGAGAAAGAAATGATAAATGTCAACAGATGATCTCTCGGACAAATGTATATTTGTATGTGTGTGGGCGGGAACAAAATAAAAACATCAACAAAATTTCATTTATTTATTTATTTCCCCATCCACTTTGTGTCCACTTTTCTAAACACAAACAAATATTGTCACTGTTGTTGTTGTCGTTTTCTTTTTTTTTTCATTTCCTTTTCGTACAATGATCCCAAATATTTGACGACAGACAAGCAATACTATTTGACCCAAATTCGGAAACATCAAAGGCAATGAGGTTGGGGAAAATCTCTGGCGAAATAAAAATAAACAAAAATTGAGAGCATCATTAAAATTCTCTTTTCAATTTTGTGAGAACTGAAAACATGAATGAACAGATCTCTCTTCACATAAAGGAATTTCTCTCTCTCACTTAATAATCCAAATTCTCTTTCTCTCTCTCTCTCTCTGCTTTTCAGACATTGTCAATGTGCTGTGCAACATAACGGGGATACCCCATCTCCAGTTTGACTGGCATGGCGAGGAGACGGACATGGTACTGAGCAAATATTTCTACACGATTAATGTGGCGCCATCGGTCCACGTTCTGTCACAGGCCTACTTGGACATTGTGAAAAATAATCCATTGAATTGGAAATCATTTACGATTGCCTATGAAACGTCATCGGGTGAGTAGTTGTGTGGAGAGTGAGAGGGAGAGGAAGAGAGAGCTGGCAAAAATACTTAATTTTCTTTGATTTTTGGCGCATTTTTTCAGATCTGTCCCGCATGCAGCACCTCTTGGCCTGGAAACAATTTCACAAGACCGGCATTAAATTAATACCCTTTGATCGTAACGATGATTTCCGTGTCCTTTGGAAACTTATAAAAATTCTCGTGAGAGAAATGTTTTGATCGATTGCCCTGCCGACATAGCCAAGAGGGTGATGCAGGAAGCCATGAATTTTAATATGACGACATCGTTTAATGTGAGTTCATCAAAAAAAAAAAAAAAAAAAAAAAAAAAAAAAAAAAATTAAAAAATTTTAAATTTTTTTAAAGTTAAAAAAATCGGATTTTTTAAAAAAATTCCGAATTTTTTCATTCCCAAAAATTTATATTTTGTGTCCAAAAAAATATTTATTTTCCAGAGTTTCTTCTTCACCGATTTGGATACCCACACAAGCGGTTTACAGACCCTGATATCGGAACAGTTTTTATCGAATGTTACCAGTGTGCGATTGCGAGGCTATATACCGCCGCCCCAGCACAGTGAGACAGATGTCTTTGATCCGGGAGAAAAGGAGACGATACGAAGTATCCGCCAGCAGAATATTTACGATGCGCTTGTGCTCTTCTACAATGCTGTGCAACAGACGTTTCAGCCGGATCCAATACCGCCACCACAAGTTTCATGCTTGGGAGGCTTTTGGGAGCCTGGAAATGATTTAATTGATAGGATGAAGAAGGTTTGAAGGAAAAAAAAGAAAATTTGAATTTTTAAATAATTGTTTTTCGAATTTTTCCAGCTCAACCCGAAACACATAGAACCCCATTACAAAACCCAAAAGATGCTGCTGAATTTCCATGGCATTCGCGATGACTTCAATTTGGATATCTATGATGCCATGATCGATGAGACCCTAAGTGTGTGGAATAAACAACATGGTCTGGTGGCCTATGAAGTCCTAATGGCCAATTTCACCCGAAAACTTGTCAAGCCCCGCAAGAAGGGCGAGGAGGCCGAGAAACAAAAGAAAAAGGTCAAATACACGGTGGCCACGAGGATTGGAGAACCCTATTTTATGATACGTGAAGAACCGGAGGGGGTGCACTTTGAGGGCAATGACCGCTTTAAGGGTTATGTGGTGGATCTAATTTTCGAATTGGCCAAGGATTTACATTTTGATTTTGTCTTCGAACCGGTGCCGGATAATAAATATGGTTCCCTGGATCCGGTGACCAATGAGTGGGATGGCATTGTCCGACAGCTAATGGATAATGTAAGGCCTTATCAAGAAAATAAAAATCTGGAAAAATAATTTAAAAAATCCCTTCCTCTTTTGCCCAGCAAGCCCAGATGGGCATCTGTGATTTGACCATAACCCAGGAGCGCAGAACTGTGGTAGATTTCACAGTGCCATTCATGCAGCTGGGAGTACAAATTTTATACTCCAAACCGCCTCCGCCCAAAAAGGAGTTATTCCAGTTCCTTGAGCCATTTTCAGTGGAGGTATGGCTATGTCTACTGATAGCCTTGCTGATTATGTCGCTAATTTATGTCCTCCTGGCGAGGTGGGTATGATGAAATGGCTTATTAGAAAGATTTATTTTCTATATATTTTTCAGATTT